GCAGGAGACCCTGGCGGAGATGGGCGACAAGCAGAAGGAGCACATGGCCGGCGAGCTCAAGATGTGGCGGGTCAGGTTGGAAGCGATGGCGATTTGCTTCCGTGACAAGGACTCGGAAGCTCTGAAGCGCTTCATTGCTCGCTTCACAACCGTGGAAGCAACAGACAGCTCCATGCCAGACCAGCCGGTGCGGATGGGAGCTTGTCCTCCATGCGAGCTGTATGCCAAGCTGAAGACCGTGGATATCTTGGACGAGTGCGCTGGTAAGTACCAGAATGCCACCACGCCGCAGCACGTCAAGGACTGCCTCACACCAGTGTTTAGCGGGCTCCGTTCCATAGAGTTCAAGAACACATGTTAAATATGTTTTGTAACTTAACAACAACAGGGTTGAAACGTCAGCATGTTCCCCGAATGCCCCCCCCTTGAATGAAGCGATTGCCGCAAACGAAAGGACGTGTCGACCATGCTCACTGACTACAAGGCTCCGCTGCAGCAGCTGCTGCAAGGTGCCACCAAAGCGGAGAGATCCATCAAGGCGGCACGAGAGCAGCTGAAGCGAGCCTCTGCCAAGCAGGCTGCTCAAGAGAGCAAGAAGGGCCAGGCGAATGCCAAGGCCAGCGAGTCACCGGCGTTGTTCGACCAAGGCGTTGCTGCGGCCAAGCAGATTCAGATCTTTGAGCCGGGGGACATCGGCTCCGGCAAGATCGACTTCAAGATCCCCTTCATCGTGAGAGCCGCCTCGATCGTGAAGGACGTCTCGGCCGGTGTGGAAAGCGAGCACGATGGCTTCAAGACCAGCTTCAATATTGGCCGTGCAAACTCAAAGGGCATGAGGGCCTCCAAGCAGATCTCCGAAGCAGGCGGCGGGGATGTCTTCGTGAAGAAGTTGCAGGACGTCTTCAAGGATTCGGAGAAGTTGCAGATGCAGGCTGGCAAGCATGACGGCCTCAAGAAGCACATGGTCACGAGCTCGTTTGGGATCGATGTTGGGTACGACAAAGTGAGTTGCGAGCCAGCTTTCATGTCTGCTTTTCGGTTGACCTTGGAAGGCACCCGCACCGTGGTGATGACCGATTGGTTGCAGCTGATTGGTTTCATGCAGAGGCAGGGTGTCGCTCTGCCGATTCCTCCTGTTCGTCAGGCGGCTTTCCTCAGGAGCATGAGCCCGGAGATGCTGAAGCAGTACGTCGAGGAGGCCAGCTTGTGGACCAGTACGCTTGGTGCTGGCGACCTGATCTATGTGCCATTCGGCTTTCTGACTGGCGAGCTGTGCACGGTCTTGACCTTCGGCTTGCGATTGCCTCTCATCGTGAAAGCGACTGCCGACCCCAATCTCATGGGCAGCATCGACAAGAAGTTGACAGAGGTCGAGCAGACATTGGCCAGTGCAAAGGAAGATGCGGCCAAGGCGCGCTTGACCATTGAGGTGTCATGTCTGAGAGAACTTTCGAAGGCCATGTCTGTTGCAGATACGCCAGCGCCTGCGGCCCCGGCACCAGTTGCACCGACTGCTTGATGCAATTTTAATGGTCATCTTTTCCAGATACGATTGCAAGCAATCGTATGATCTCGATCATCGCTACGAAGCTAGCTGTGCGATCCTTGTCTTCTGCGCCCTGACGGGTCCGCGGTCCGAGGCCACTCATACGAGTTTTTCTAAGGCGTGCGGCCATGCGGATTGATCCTGTCACCAATCGCATGTGAGAAACTTGCAGCGTGCTGCTCCTCCTGTGCACGTCAACTCTCAGTAGCAGTGTCGTCGGCAGAGGTTGTGAGTGTCAGTGAGTGTGGCTTTGCAGATCCCGGAAGGTGATGTGCCTAGTTCTGAGTTGAAACTCACGTCCCCAACAAACCCGACGAGTGAAGCATGCTACGCTGCTAGACTAGATTGCCAGCTTCACTAGACTTCTCTTGTCAGATGCCAGGCTTTAGTCAAGCGCGTTGCATAAACCGGTAGGCTAGAAGTCCAAAGCCATAAGGCCCAGAACTCGTGATTGACAGAAGATTCGCTCTGTGGCCTGTCTGTGGCAGGTGGGCTGCGTCTGAGTGGCTGAGTGGTGCTCGCGGCTGGCAGCAGGGTTTTTGCACGGCTAGAGCTTCCCAAAAATCTAACAAGCTTATAGCCTGAAAGCTAATTCGCCCGAAATCTGACGAGCTTCACCCGAAGTCCCTCGAGTTTCACCCGAAGTTTGATTCATGAAAATAGTGACGACCTTCGCCCGAAACCTGACGAACTTCATTTGAAATCCGAACGTCTTGTAGGCCTTAACAGAGTCCGGTTCCAAGCCTCCCACAGCTGTCCTTTCCTAGACTTGTATGCACTTTAGGGCCGCGGGCATGAGTGCTGCGAGTTTCGAGGGTTTTGGAGATTGCGGTCGTGCACTGGCTCAGCAGAAATATCTGAAATGCTGGCTTGGAGCGGCAGCTGCAATTCTAACGTCGTATTCCAATCGTAGTTGCTTGCTGT